CAGGCCTTTCTGTAGCAAATGTGTGTGAGCTGCATAATTCCAGTATACTACATAATTGACGTGTCCCTGTGTGAACCCTATAATGAGTTAAGCCTTTTCTACTGAAATGTCAAGAAAAGCATTTAAATACTTCTGGATTCTTGCCAGACCCACATTACCAAGACTCCTCTTTATTTTAGATTTAAATATGTAGTAGGTCTGATGTGCTCGGGCATGCATATTGAATTTCTGAATGTACTGTAATTCAAAGGGGAACTCTTTTTGAAGCAAGACAGGTCTGTACATACTAGTTATGGAATAACTTGCCTCAGATCTCATATTCCTAACTGAGGATCTGCTTCTAGTATTACTGTGGTAAAATTTATAAAGGACTCCTTTATATGACTATAATCTGATTCTGAATAGATGGTTCCTGAAGGGAACATATGGCTAAATTATTAAAAAATTTTCTCATGCAATTTGCCAGTATTTTCACAGATGAAAATTCTGTAAAATATGGCATTAATGCGGGAATTGAGATGCTGAATAACCCATAAGAGAATTTTTTCCTATGGCACCATTCACATGCTTTTTCCCACTTTTACCTCAATGGTAATTTATGTAAAAAAATGTTTGTTGTTAAAGAGGGTCTATTAAACTAAGTATCCTATATAATAAAAGCCTAATATGCAAATTGTCCCCTTGAATGAGAGTTCGACCAGGAGTTCGACTAGGGGGGGGCAGCTGGCCAAATGCCCATGGCCCCTCCCCCTGGCCTGTGGCGGCAGGTGGCTGGGGGAAGGGAGGCCCCTGCTGGCAGCTGGTAGCTGCTAGGGACCCTACCCATGCATGAATTTCATGCACTGGGCCTTTAGTTTCTAAATAAGTCTTATGACTAGGTAAGTGCTTTGGACACATTTCAGAACTTTAGAATTTTTTAAACTTGCCTTGATTTTTGGAAAAAACATCATTTTTTCCTCCCTTCAGTGGTGGATTTTTTGGTGTTGAGTATATTCTCTAATCCAGCGGTCACCAACCTTTCGGGCCTCATGGACCACCAGTGGTCCGCAGACCAACGGTTGGTGACTGCTGCTCTAATTCAAAGCCTTTTACTGAATTTGACAACCTACAAAAGAATTTTAGCCTATTCTTTTGCTGAGCAATGATTAGATTTTCCACTTCCTGTTACTAAAGGACCTTTCAAGTTCTATTAATAATATATTGTATTTTCTATACCTAACTAATTCCCCAATCTGAATATTTTGTAGCTCCTCTTTAAATAAATTGGGAGGTTTCCTTTGCTGTACAAAAGCTTTTTATTTTGATGTAGTCCCATTTGTTTATTTTCTCTTTAGTTTTTATTGCCCTAGGAGCAGTATCGGTGAAGAAATTGCTTCAGCATATGTCTCAGATTTTGCTGCCTGTGGATTCCTCTAGTATTTTTATGGTTCCC